CCATACCTGGGAACTACTGTTAAACGTGTAGCCTACCATAACAGATTAACTTAGATCAGCAGTCCTTCTTGAGAAGCTAACAGTGGCTTAGTTCGTCAAACTCCGCTTTTCTATCTTTATAAAACCAGAAGGTTCACTGCCGTGTTCACAAGAGCCCGTCACTTCTACCCTGGATCAGACAAAACCAATCCACATAGTCAAAGAAACAGTTCATGAAAATTTAAAATGGATAACATAGTGTAACAGGCCCATTATCATGTTTAATACAGTACTATTAATGTTGAACCATCGGATTCTGATCCCACATCAGAAGGTGCTCACTAATCGTCACAGAAATAAAGCACTGCTAACCCCCCCCCCCCAAAAAATAAAAAATCCACCCACCAGTTAAGCACATCAGGTGCAAGGTTCCCCTACCAACATTACCACACAGTCGGGACGGTCATGTGTTTAGACGAATACCTGGCATTGTGGCTTTCCTAGAATAATCTGCTTCAGGCTCGGAGGGATGCCCATTGCCGTTGATTTGTTTTGTCCGGCAGCTGGACTTGCGCCGCATTCCATAAATGGAACCATTGTAATGAATATAATGGCAGAAAAAGTAATCTCAGAATGGTAAATCTGCAAATGTGCCTGAACACCACGCTGTGGAAACATGTAAGAGTGAAGGTATAAAGTTTTACGCATTAGAGTCGGTATTATTTGACGGTAACCGATCAGCCTCACATTTCGACCATTTCACCTCGGGAAAATAGTCCCCTTAAAACATACACTGAATAGGACTCGGAATATTAAAGATATATGAGTTGCTCACGGCGGTATAGATGGAACCAGTAAGGTTCTCCGAAACTCTTGTATCTACATACAAGTCCACACAACGTTACAACCCAGAAGGCCAATGAACAGTGTGGCTGGACCAAACTGTAACTTTACTGAGTTTTCATTACTCATAACTGTTTTATGACAATTCTAATAAAAATAACAGTAATAATGCGGTCAAGTTGTGGCTAGTCGGGAATTTCACATTCTTAAATAACATTACGTGCTTGGCAGTTTAAATGAAAGGGTCAATGTCATTAATACCACAGACTGGCAGTGAACACGATCCTGGCCCACAAAACCCCACAACCCATCCTAGGATCCATCCTAACATTATATTTATCTTCCCCTCTCCTTCACTGTCGTCCAATCGGCTGCTTTACCAGTTCCCCTATAAACATTTTACATCAATTTCTTGACTCCTCCAAAGCTTGTTAAACGTGCAACGTATAATTCATTGAGTCGACTGCCCTAATTGTTTAACCCTATCTGTATAAATCACGAAAAAAAATTTACATAATACGTTATCCTCCTATACGAATTTAGTATAATTCTTCTCTAGGCCCAGTCGTATTCTATAGCATATTAATTTGCAATTTGTGTCCTTCATATGCAGCAGACGAATGGTAATCCAACAGAATGACAATACGCATATCCGATTCAAAGTAACATTGCAGTTATCTGCACGTTTACCACACACATGGGAGATCGAGGACTCTTTCTCTGCCTGAAAGACAGCTATCCTGACAAGGTTTTCACAGTTTTCCTCCATTTATCCTTCTTTCTTCATAGATCTAATTATAATTTGTAGCTGCCACGATACAGTTGTAGATAATATGGTATTTTGATACACTGTACACACTATTATCCATTGAAGATTTCCGTCTTCTGGGTTGTTGTGCTGTGTAGTCAATGAATATTCATCGCCCTGGTGACGGAGGCAGTATGACCTCTGAAACGTTGGTAAACATCGACCAGACTACACAGTGCAACAACCCAGAAGACAGAAATCTTCATACTCACCGCTGTGAAAACCTCAAATCTTACATACTATCCTTTGTTTATGAAGCTATAGGAGTAATTAATTCTCCCCATCAACGGAATACCAGGAGTGGAGAAGTCATGTTCAGCAGATATCAGAATATTGGTGGTTCCCAACTGCAGACGAGGAAAGCGAGATTTGAGAAGACCACAAATAAAATAATTTGAACAATTTGTGTAACCTCGGAACGGGTTTAATGGGGGTTTTATATGCAATTTTATCTTTGTTCCGGATTTTGACTTTCTTCACGTAATCACGTTTATTTCAAAACAAAATAAGTAAACTAGCTTCCTATTACTCCATATTCAAGTGCATATTGTATCGATTCACTGCTAAACATCGTATGTGGTTTCTTTACAGTAGACACAGCCTTTTTACATTTCATCACACTTTAAAACAATGCAATGATCACAGTGAAGTTATGAAATCTAAAGAGTTTTAAAGATTCTGCTTCACTTGCATCGACTTGCAATCGGACTGGATGGGTACCAGAACGGAAGGAGAAGAAAATAATACCCGACCATAAAATAAATTGAAAACCAGTCGTCCAGAAAACACCTAGTAACTTTACCTAAGCTATTCTGGATATTCTGATTTAAAAACACTGAAAACATACAATTTCCGATTGAAGTCAATATACATTTGTTTAATAATTTTTTAACAAAACATATGATGTGTTATTAACTTTTTATAATATAAACAGCTTTTTAATGGCTTAGCATGTATCTTCTGTTTATATATTTATAAAAATCCATAAACTGTAAAAATACAGATGTGAAGTGCTAAACAACGAAATGTTTACGAAGCGAAGCTCGTTACTAAAGACAAAGATCTTTGCTGTTAAGTTATGGTACACAAATAAAACCAAACAAAATTACTGTTTTCCAGAATGTGACAAGAAATATCACATAACAATCATCAGTCAGACCCACCAAATTTGGAAGACTGGTATGGGTATTGCATTTTCCTGAGGGGTAAATAATGACATTTCAAATAGACTTGTCAGATAAGTTATACTTACCTAAATCTGACCGCAGAATCCAAAGGTTCAGAACCGCTAATACAAATTCCTTCCACTGGATACGAACCTGAGCCAGTCAAATCTCTTTGGGTTTCCATTTTCCAACAAGTTTCTCCTTTTCAATAACTTCCCTCAGGAAATATCTGTACGCATGTTAGCTGTTTCCCAACCAGACAGAATTCCTATCCGTAACAGTCTCCTAGATTTTACTGTCCTAACAGTGATACGGGAGATTAATAAACTGTTAAATAGCTATGAATAATTAGCGCTGTCTATGCATACTGTAAGCCACCATAGAAATGACTTCAAAAATTAATTCCATTATTAATATATGAAAATAAATAGAAGAATATGTGGGCCCAAAAACAGTAACAATAACGAGTATCATAATTTTGCTCTCTTCAACAAGGCAATCAAGCCAAGGAGGATTGGATGGGCACATGGATCACGCATGGTAAACGAAAAATTAATACAAAATTGAAATTGTAATTCAAAAAGATACCACATGGCGTGTCTTTTGAAGTACCCGCGGCCACATATTCTTGCGAGATTAACCTTAACAGTTCTAAGCAGCTGTAAATTACTCACACTGACCGAACATACCTTATAGATACATAGAGAGAGGCATACAAACAACATCAATTACATGGAGCAGAGTTCTTATTTAGAAGCTAATATTCACTCAAGTAAAATTCATTATCGTATTCAAAATACCAGCTACTAGTCCAAATCCTGTGCAAATGAATCAATCCACAACTATACTCATTATTTATAATTAATTTTGGAGCAATATCCTAAGAATTAAGCTGAATCTGCATAGGTAAACTACTTTCTTAGACCAGCTGCTGGTACAAGTCTAGCGAATAAACATCACCTAAAACACATTTTCCGTAATCCTTATCTTATCATCCCCACTGAACAGTGCATCATGTGACCTCCTCCAGTCGTTATTGCATTGTCCGAAAGGCATTACCGGACATAAGTTGCTTCAAGGCAACATGTACCTTTTGTTAACAAAGTAGGGTTTGAGGTTTTCACTTCGGACCTCTCAAACTTTGGCAAACATCTACCAAACTACACGGCGCTACGACCCATAAGACAGCTAAATTGTGTTAACAAATTTGCTGCAAACAGATATGTTCCTTACCAAATAAAGCTCAGCATAAAGATATTTCTAATTACTTTGCATCCTTGCGAAGTCAAGGAGTGACCATCACTCACGTAAGATATTCAATACAGTATACAACAGTCTTGTTTTAAATAATCACTCTCTCTGTCTTTATTTAACCCTCTGATATGAAATTTAGTCGCCGCTTGTAGGCTAATTTCTGTCAGTACTAATAACCTACACTGGATGTCCCGCTCGGTAAAATAAATACGACACCTTCTACGAAATGTGCGACAACAGAATTATTATAATCCTTGTGTCATTATATTTTTAAACTACTGAAAATCTTTCCACGTGACGCTTTAAGTAAAATTAAACGTGGTATTCCAAAGAAGAAACTGTTTGAACGTGTCGATTCCAGATAAGAATCGCCAAACACTGGTACAAAATCTGTGTTATAAGAAAATCAAATATTTTTCTGGCCTACAGCTAAATTTCACCAAAAACACAAGATTCTAACCTAACAAATCCCTTAACATTTCAGAATTTACTAGACATAAAGGAAACAATGTAATCCGAACATATCCAACCAAACACAAACGCATTTTTACTTTCGAAATAAGTAACATATGTAGAAACGTGTGGCAAAAATTAACCAAAATATCCCGCATTATGTAGACCTCTCACATAAAACGCAGTCGTGACTGGTCTGGATACACCTGTATAAAACACTATCAACAGAATACACTTTTGTTCCAAAACTAATCATAAAATTCCGCGCCCTATAATTCTCTCAGCAAATTGTGGTCCGATCAAATAATTTATTTTTTCGGATATCGCTGTAGGCAGAAAGAAGAATGTGTTGATTCGAAATTAGTCACAGTATTTCATGCTACATAGATGTATCTGAAACCAGTATGATTCCTGCAAGAAATTAAATATTTTCCAGTGCCAATGTATCGGAAGTTTTCGATCGGCGTGTTCTGTTACCAGAAGGGCGAAGTACTCACCGTTTATGGCACGTGGACTCCAGCGTGACGGTGGCGCCTCTGTTCTCCACGGCAACAGATGGAATGCGGATGAGGTCGTGAGGGAAAATTTTGGCGGCTTTTCCTTGACCAACAGGTGTGAAAAATATGAGAATAAAACTCAGACTACTAATATGAAGAAGATACGAAGCACGTCGCGAACGTCGCGTGGAGAGAGAATACACACAGCACTCCTTCCACCACGACGGTCGGTCTATCACTGAACCAGCAGACCCACTCTGCTCCCTCTACCTCACTCAACACGTTCCGTTACAGGCGTAGTTGGGTTAATAATGGCCTCGGGGACCATGGTTCTGATCCTCCCCTCACCTACCCTTACATTTCGGGCTATCTCGGTCTATTCCGTATCATATTCGGCTTATTGAAGTTCGCTTCGAAAACTAAATGGCCTTATTTTCTGTAGCCGTAAGGTTTTCTGTCCTTTCTGTCTCATCTCCCCGAACACTACCAAAGGCCCAACCCAAGTAAGCAAGCCATGTTACCAAAGGCACTCACTTCAATCTCCTCTCTCGCATTCAGATCTACAAGCATTAAGTTCCTCTCCCCTCTCTACCAGTATTCATCGTCTCCCCCCAATCCACCAACCGGTAAGGTACACCTTAGCTCCTAGAGCCTGTGTCCGCTCTGCCTAGTTTCAATTGAAACAAAGTTAAAAAAAATGCTCGCTTCGAATTTTGTATCAGCAGCAGCCACGTCTAAGCGACATGTGTGTATGTACGTTGGAATTTCAATGGCACTCTCTTATGTGGGGCAAAATGTAATACCTTCCTAACAAAGCGTCGTAAAAGCGCACACAATGATGTTTCGTTGTTGTTATTATTAATATTTTATTATTTTCTCGCCTTAAGGGAAGCACGCGGACTGGGAGTGTTTTAAAACAGGACGCTTAGTAAAATATTTGGACCCAACGGGGAAGAAATGACACGAGGCTGGACAGAATTGCACAATGTAATTTTTACTGTCACCAAATATCATTAGTACGAGCAAATCAAGGGCGGGTCATGTTGCATGCATGGGGGAGATGATAAATCAGTTCAAAATTTTGGTTGAAAAGACTAAACGGAAAAGATGACTCAGAAGATCTACGCATAGGTGGAAGGATAACATATTAAAATTGATCGTAATGAAACAGGGCTGGAGAATGTAGACTGGATTCGTCTGACTCAGGAGGGGCTAATGACGGACTCTTGTGAACCTGATAACGAGCTATCGGGATCCACAGAAGGCGGGGATTTTGACTAGCTTCTCAAGGACCATACTATGAGCGAATAATAAAAGCCGTTCAGGGAACTTAATTTTTGGTGTGTACTTCATGCTTACATGAAGAAAAAATTAAATTTTATATTTTCTCAAAAAAGGCTCCTTATAAAAGATATTGATGCATATGTTAACATAAATCAAATGTATATATCCTTAATTGTTACAAGTTTATTTGAAACATATCTCCATATGGTGAATACTTCGCTATTTATAAGAAACATAATTTCTGATAGTGGAGCAATACGTTTGTATCTGCAGTAAATGAACATTAAGACCAATGAAGCATGCAGAATAGCAATAAACGTAAGCGTACTCCATTTTAGTAAACTTTCCCATTCATGTTGTCTTTGTTAATCAATAAAATCAAACTCAACCCTTGCAAAGCCTAAAATGCACAATCCTAATGGCGAAATTCTGTTAATGCTTTTCACCGTACGTAGCTGTTTCACAGCGAAACACAAACTTTACTGTAGCCCTATTCCACTTCTCAAATGTTCACCCCTGTCCTACACTAAATTTACTCCCAGCCTACTAAAAATACATAGCAGAGGCGAATTGTTACGGGTGATAAAAAAAGGTCTAACAAAAAGCAAAATACTCACACCACCGAAATATGAACCCTGAAGAAGCGAGGTGTAAAAAGAGCTAGATGATGGCGCAAAATGGGGAGGGGGACGCTGATATTAAGCTTTTGACGTTCGAGTTTTGGCGTGTTAATTCGATGGGCCGCGCCTTGCTTGCCTGATGGGTAACTCAATTTGCATAATGAGGTCTGAAGGTTTGATTCTCTTGTTTGTGAAGAGGCTCTGTGCTATACGCCAACCCCGCCGCCCGAGGGAGTGGAGGACGCATCTCTCACCCGCACCTTGGTACTCCTTCGGCAATATTCCAACTCTCAAGAGAAAATCTTTCATCACTGTGGCACCGCCCGAGTCGTCACAGCAACCTGCTGTAATACCGGCCAACATTTTGATAAAAACTGTCCTGTCTTGTAACATGGTAAAAGAAAGCGAAATTCCTAAAAATGCATTGTGTGTAAAAAAACCTAATTTTTGCCGATTCTTCGATTGGTTAGTGGGTTCATAATCGGACCAACTTTCTTTATCTTACCATATTACACGTCAGAGAATTAATTTCCATCTAGTATTTTGTGCCTGTAACCATATATTTACCAAACCGAAAAATGTTAAAGAAAAAATGAAGGACAAAAAAGTTGCTTGTTCGCACGGCGACAAGTATGAAGATGGCTGTCTTATAAGATGTTGCACTGTGAAATATGGTAGATATTGGTCCACGTTTCAGAGGGACTTAACTACCACCATCATCGAGGTACACCAGATTACGGTGTAACATCACAGAACAGTGAAATCATAAAAGATGTGCAATATAATCTACAACAAGGAAACAAATAATATGTAAGAAATTTTATAATTATAATTTTACAGCAAGTAACGTCTCGTATTGACACTCTCAATGTTTTGTTACTTTTATTCATTAAAAAAATGGTGGACCTGTTAACATGTCCTGTCAAGGAAGGACGACACTATGACAGAGCCGTCTTTCTTTCCTTTATATTCGTGGCTAAAATTTGTTAATCTAAGGCCAAAGTATTTTCTGAATCCAATTAAATTACGAAGCATTTCATATGCACGCCCGAGCGCTCCTTGCAGTGTTCCAATGTCCGTCCATTGATTACCAACATTAACAGTTTGACACTTGGCTAGAAAAAATGTCAACACAAGAATTCACACTTCATATCAAACTGACTGGTGTATATTGTTTCTAAATAAGTTACCGGGTTACACACATTTTAGTCCATTATGTCCGCATTACAGGTTATTTATCCAACACTTTGGATGCCCGGATACCCTAGGCTCTTGTGAGCTCGCAACTGTTCCCCGTCTTGTTCCGATCCTCACATACGGTTTATTTAGGATATCTGTATATCTTAATATTCTCCCATCTATGTCGAGGTCTCCCAAGCAATCTATTTCTTTCAGGTTTTCCGAAGAAATCCAAAATGAATTTCTAGTATACACAGATCATGTTATTCCGTCCGTCGCATTTTCAATAACACGGTTACCTTAATAATAACAGCAGACGGGTACTACAACTCATCAATGTGCACCAGGTTAACATCCCTGCTAGATTCATATGGGGCTTCGTTGTTCTTTTAACTTATCTGTATATTGACTGCAAGAACAACAGAGATTGTATGTGTCAAATTATTGTAGTAAAATTCTGTTCTGTTGTAAATCTTGCACGTAAATAGTATAGTTATCAGTCTGTAATTATGGGTATTCTAACCGAATAGAAATAAAGTCTCCAAGGAAAGTTCTTGTAAGTCGATGGAGATCAGAGCAAGAGTGCGGTATGTGATATCTGCAATAAGTGGAGATTCCTCGCCGTGAAATTTGTATTTACTGCGATTACCAGTTTTCTCTTCCACCAGCTCAGTTATTATTCTCTCGATCCGCGAACCGCGACAGCCTATTGAGTAAACACCAAACCGATCGACACGATAAACGTTTCCAGTTTGCTTTTGTTTTCGTTCCAGTGGATTTTAAGTTTGATCTCATTTTATTTTCGTGGCTCCCTGTGAAAAGCTATGATTTTTAAACTGCAGTTGAGAACCTATTGTATTTACAATATACGCTTGTCTGTCAGTATGTATGAACGTATGCGTGTGTGTGTGTGTGCGTGTGCGTGCGTGCGCATATATGTATGCATGTATGCCTGCCTAACCATTCGTCTGGGCGATTCGTTTCATATTGACCCAAATAAATCACATAGCATACAAGCTGACTGTTTACATTAATTATCATACGTGGGGGACGATTTTCTTGTTGCCATTCTGGGCAAGAGCTGTGAGCTAGCAGAACATATCGTGTTCAGATTCAAGCTGAATAGAGACGATTCCAAGTTGACACATTTAATTAAATTGCTATCCTTGTTTATCTGTATTGGAAAATTATTCCTGGCTGCCTTTTGGCCTGACATAATGTGATAAGAAATTTAAGACAATTACATAATTTTAATTTTAATCAGAAATATTAGGATCTGAATAAAAGTATCCTCTGTCCCTCCTCCACGTCATGAATGTATGTTAGAGGCACAAAGGTAAAGTTTCACTCAATGTTAGATGAAACCAGTAAGCTTCACGTGCTGACCTCTTTACTTCCAGGTCGTTGCTGGGATTACAAAACACCTGTCCCTTCCTGGATTCGACACCGATCTCCTAGTCCCTATCCGATCACTCTACTGTCTAAGCTATCCCGTAATTCTGCTACCTAACTTTGTTATAAGGGAATGAAAACGTAAAAAAGAGGCAAAGCCATCCTGTTACGAGTCATGCAAGTTCTCAGGGGAGAGGAGGAAAAGCTCCTACTCATTCTGAATGTCGGCACTAGTTGGGGGTGAGTGGTCAGCATCACGCCTCGGCCGCGCTTTGCTCCCGGGAAAGGACCACGATATCCAATGAACAAGAGGGTGGATGAGCCCCATAGGCGATTTGAAAACAACAGCTAGACGAAAGTAAAATCGGTCAGATATGCAACAATCAATGTGGAAGCAAGTGATACAACCAAAATTTCTGTTGATCTTCTAAATGGGGGGAAAGTATAACTGACACAAAAGCAATTGTTGCATAATAATATTAAAATGTATCGTGAATTGTTTGAGGGTTTAAATGGTGACTGGACTGTACTGATTTTTCGCGACAATCAGAAGAAAAAAGCTGTATCTTGGTCTAATTCTTGACTGATCTGATTGTTAAGCTCCGCAGACTCATTTGTGAAAATGTGTTGTATCACCAGAAGATGACAGGCAAAGCAAGACGGAGCTAGTGGATACGTCGCTATAGCAAAGTCGCTGTTTGGGCCACAGGTCGTGAACTGGATTCAACAGACTCAATACAAGTCGCTTGTGTAAAAAATAAAGACTCATCACGGACCATAGTAACAGCACTTTTTTGAAGGTCAATAAGAGTGTCAAAATTTGGGGTAGGCCTATTAATTTCTAAAGTTATTACACTTTATAGGATTTGAGGTTTTAACGGCGGTGAGTCTGAAATGGCTGTCTTCTGGGTTGTTGCGCCGTATAGTCTCGTATACGTTTACCAACGTTTCAGAGGTCCTTGATGCCTCCATCATCAGGGTTATGAATAATGATGATCATC